GTCTGCGGACTTACAACGCTAGAAAACGGGTTTCGATACCCGTGGTGGGAAAAGCAAAGCTAGCCCATTGTGTAGCTTTGTGCTAAATTACAAAGAAACAAACTGTTCCAAGTTCACTTCAAAGACGGTTAGTTTCACACTAAATTCGAGACTAGATCTCAAAACACTCGTATTACCTGAAAGTTTCTGCTGTTATGAATATTAATATAATTGTTTTGGCGACACTTTTGTATTTTCAAGATTATTTTCTGTGTGTGTGTGTGTGTGTGTGTGTGCATACGAGGATAAAAATCTGTTCAAAAACTTACAGTAACTGTAATAGTGGTGACCTTTAAATAGTATTTTTTATGTATATACATAAAATGAGATTTTATATCGTAGAGGGAATTCATTTTTAATTTTTTACTTTTAACATTTTAGGACTTTCCATCATCGATTGTTTTTTTAATTTTCACGATTGATAATTACTTCAGTGATTGTAAAATGCTTTCTCATATACAGATCTTTTACCGATACCTACTTGTGTGCCCCCCAGTAGCACAGCTGTATGTCTGCGGACTTACAACGCTAGAAACCGGGTTTTTATAGCTTTGTGCTTAACTACAAACAACAACAATAACCACTTGTAGTGAAGGTGAAGGGAAAAAAGAACATTTAAAAGTAAGAAAAAAAATTACCGAAGGTGGGAGAGAGAAGGTTTTAGAAAAGTGGAGTAATCAACTACTTAAAATATGAATCGTAGTGTTGATTACAGAGGGGAAAATTAAAGCGAGAGAGGAAAACTACTGGAAACAGAACTTTTGTACTTAAAAGAAGGATCTCTCGTAGGTGGTATGAATAGCTGTTGAAAACTGGAGGGGCAGTGTTGGAGTCTGAAGGGGGAATATGAAAGAGACAGGGAACTATTGGGAACAGGACTTTTGTACTTGAAAGAAGGATCTCTTGTATGCCGTATAAACAATTATTGAAAACTGAAGGGTCAGTGTTGGAATCTGAAGGGGAAATCAGAAACAGGAAACAGGACTTTGGCACTTGGAATATTGAACTCTCAAAGATAGTATAATCAACTGTTAGAAATGAGAGAGGTGTTTTGAAGCCTGAAGCGACATGGGAACTGTTAATAATGGAGAAATGAGAGGGGAAATAGTAAAAGGACTTATTGGAGAAACTGTGGAAGGTTTGGAACGATGAAACACAGATCCCTATTTGCATTTTTTGCACACCCTCAGAGCTCAAAATATGGATATTTAGATACTTTATAACATTTGTATGCTAAACGAGTCCTTGAAGATTTATTAGACAAAAGATCCAACTTAGTGTACTTAAGAGTTTGCCTTGACGATGCAAATATTCATTTAAATTTTGTAAATAGGTGGGAAATTTCATTTCTTCAGTTACTGTAATTATCAAGTTGTTAGCGGTTATTTATCTACTAATGAGCGAATATGTTTCAATATGTTACTTGAGATAAAAATTAACATACTATGAAAATATAAGAGGACTAGGTCCATAAGAGTCCAATAATTCACGAGTTAATGTAATCATAGAATCAGTAAAAAAAAAAGAATCTCATTTGTCATATACTTTGAGAACGTGGGATGTGAAAAGTATTTATTGTTGTTTTAGGTGGAGTTTGTGGTCTCTATGTTTACGTTGAGATATTCTGGTTTTACATTTACATTAAGCATGCTTTTATTTTTTCTCCTGGTTAATTCTTTGTATAATAAGTCGCATACGTAACAAATTTGATTTTTTTTTTCTATTTGTGAAGCTTACACCCCATCATCACCACTATCACACACACACAAATACGTTTATACATGTTTGTGTTCTATAGATATTAGTTTGACAAAACTTTCAAAAATCTTTTATTTTTTTTAAAGGTTAGTTCTAAGAATGTTTAAATGGATAGCAGTTAATTTTGATATTGTGATAAGTGTCTGTTCAATGTTGTTGGTTCTTTTGAAAAACTTTAGTTTTTGTATGATGTTGTTTAACTATGTAACTTCAATAATCAAACCAGCAAGAAAGTATTGTAAACTTGGGTTGAAACATACATTGTATACAACATTGTCTAGTAACATAACCTCAATAGTCAAACGAACAAGAGAATACTCCAAACTTTGGTTAAAACAAGTTTTTAATATTGTTAGAAAAATAACTTCAATAATCAAACCAGCAAGAAAGTATTGTAAACTTGGGTTGAAACATACATTGTATACAACATTGTCTAGTAACATAACCTCAATAGTCAAACGAACAAGAGAATACTCCAAACTTTGGTTAAAACAAGTTTTTAATATTGTTAGAAAAATAACTTCAATAATCAAACGAAGACAGTACTTACCGTATTTGCCCGAATATAATGCGCACCCAGTTTTGAAAGGTTAAATTGAAGATTTTTGTTTTTACACATCAGTTGTACATATTATATTGAACAATTTCTGAATACAGTGAACAACTGTCGATGTATTAAACATTTTTGGAAATCTGTCAATTAATTTTTTTTACATGTCAATTTTAATAAATTTAATCAAACATTTATACGTGGTAAACACATGAAACATTTATACGTGGTAACACACCAAGCAAATCTTTCATCTTCACATAAATCTTCGTCATCACTACAACTGTCGCTACCATCGGATTTGTTTCCCTGAACCTTTTGCTTCATCCTCTTCTGATTCCCACAGCATATCATCATCTGTCCCATCCATTGCATTGGATATGTAACATTTTTTGGAACCTTTAATGATTCTTTCAGTGAATTTTGATGGTAGCTTCTAGTAAGATACCTAACAAAATTGAACGTGCGCGAATATAATGCGCAGTCAAGTTTTTGGGAGGTATTTGGATAAAAGAAGTGCGTATTATATTCGGGAAAATACGTAAAAACTTGGGTTGAAATACATATTGTACACAACATTGTCTAGTGACACAACCTCAATGATCAAATTGAAATACATATTGTATACAATGTTGTCTAGTAACACAACCTATTGATAAAACCAACAATACAATACTTAAAACTTCAAGAATGTTTGATTGCTCAAACTATGTTCCATAACAACAAACTGTTATTTTTACACTTTAAGAGGGACGTTTACGTGTAAGTTCAGAAGTATTTGTTTTCAAGTTCTTTGTAAATATTTACACGTTTGAAGCTAAATAAAATATATTTAATTTCAGCACAGACAGCTCATTGTGTCTCTTTTAACTTAACAACAAACAAACAAAATTATGCACAAATACCAAATTAATTAAACTTGTAAAATTAACCATTAATTTCCTGAAAAGAACTTATTACCAATAGAAGTTTGAGATAAGAGTAGGCTAAGGATTATTGGCTTTCTTTTATTAAGGTTTTATTTAAAAATTTATGAAAAATTTAACAATCCCCAAAGCTTTTAACACCCGCATTACTCAAATCGGTTAAGCCTAACTTCGATTCTTATAAAACTAAACTGGTACTCTGAATTTTTTTACACTACATTTTAAATAAGAAAGTGATATTCATTAAAAGCATAGCACTCGATCAAGAAGAATTCTGTCAAGCACTGTCTTCGGTAAGTTGGGTGAAATAAATTTGTTAAACCCAATAAAAACAAAGTTGAATTCCCCTTATTTTAGCAGTTTCGACTCAAACCAATACACTTGAAAAAAAAAGAAAAGAAGAGAGATTTAAATACAGCAACGTATTTTTTCTTATTTTGTTAAACTAGTCAACCATTGGAAAACGATTTTGTTTGTAGTTCGAGCAACTAATATTAGGTCCATCGGCATTAATATATGGGTTATCGATCAGGCCTTTTGCATTGGTTAAACATTGTAACACTTGATTTATTTAGATTGTCAACTAATTATTGTACCTACATGCC